GATTATCATATAAATAGTGTTTTCAATAAATTTTAAATGTTAGAATTTCAGTTGTTAAAACAGCAAAAATGTGCTGTGCAATGGTTTCAAAGATTGTGTCGTAGCGAATTCGATCATCAAAATGAGGAGATTTGGGGATGAGTGGACGCCTTTCTGCTAATGAAGATGGTGAATTTAAAGCTTTCACGGAACTGAATGGATGCACAAGCTGTTGAGAACTTAGAGACGAACCATGTATTGCACCTCTGGGAAGTCTAAGAAGGTCGACAAATGGATGCTGTATGAATGGAATTTTTTTCCGATGATAATAGGCGATCATATGCTGCACAAGCGATGTTGTAAAAGATAATAGAGCTGGGCTACGAAACACGGTCTAACCCACCACACTTGCCATGCCACTCGTCCATTGACCCCAAGGAACTCGATAACCTTGAGTGCAAGAAACGCTTCAAAAACCAAGCCAAGACCGAAATTGCCTTAAACGACTTGGTCGCCTCCAGAAATCCATATTGTTAAGCAACTGGTATAAATAAACATGTTTACGATCAACAGAAAGGTGAAGACCCTGCCAGGGGGATGAGTCCGCTCTCTGTACATCGCAGTCCGACACCCAGGAACACCTCCCAGTCACGATGAGGAGGTAAACCGTTGGAAGCATATCTAATTTAACTAATCCAAATAAAAGTCATTGGAATCTGAGAAGGAGTCCGGTGTTTCCATCAGGAAGCCTAGCTACGAGTAAACCAATACCAGTATCCACCACCGTCCTGGTATCAAACTAGTCGCTCCCTCTGATCCACAATTGGCCAGGCTGTCCTCGGGATTCGAGGGAAGCACAATGGCTTAACTAGCAAATCTCTGAAAAATGGTGTTTATGCTGGGGCCCGCACAACTAGTGAGGACGGGCCGTTCAAGTATCAAGTATCAAGTAAATGAGATATGCAACTTCGAGAATATACAATTTGAAACCGGACATTAATTCGAGCACAACCTAGTAACACACGTCACGGAAATATCATAGAGGCAGAGGTAGTAATCCAATCCAGCTCGTAAAGGTAGGTAGTCCAATATTATATTCGTATAGGTAGCAATTTGTCCAGGTCGACGTCGGCTCTTGTTCTTATTTCGGATTTCCCTTCCAAATTTTCTGGGCTTATAATCACTTACACCGGATTCTCCTTATCTAGTGTTGAATACCCCATTAATAAATTTATAAAAGGGTTATTTGTCGCAAATAGTATTCTCCAACTAGAAAGAAGAAAGAATCTAAGTTTATTAGATCAGATGCATAGATTGGTGAGTTAAAACTGATGATATTGAGCCCTTTTCAATGCATTAGCTGACGAAAGGGTGATTGGATCTAATACGAGTAAAAGAGGTGACAATGGAAAGCTGTACAATTAGGCCAATATTCAGCATCCACATTTCGCAATTTTTGTCCACAGATGACAAGAGCATCATCATTTGGCTGAACATGTGTCGACACTTGGTATTTTTTCATATAGAGTCGATAACGTGGATTTCTTTGTGACATGTGACCTTTAGAAGAGCAGCAATTCGTGAAACTATCCTGCTATGCTGAGCACAAAGTAAAATATGATCTAATAGACGTATTATATGGATCCCGTCTTCCTTTCACTTAATTTAGGCATTTAGAATAAAGACAAAATAAAGACAAATCAGAACACGTTTTAAGTTTTTTAATAGATCCTGTCTGAATGGAGACCTTACGGAAGATATGAGTGTAAGAATAGAAACAGCTCAGAGATAATTTTCTGGTTTACTGATAAGTTTACACGAGATTATCACAAATCTTTATTAAGGCTAAACTTTTGGTGGTTTCCATGCCATCATGAGAATAGCGTGCTTCAAAGCTCAGGATTATTGGAAAATATGTTTACATTAGGGGCGCGTGTAGCACAGTGGTTGGGGACGCTCTGTAATACACGTGGGATCGATCCTGGCGCCCCGAGCCCACCAAGCCCTCCATCCCTCCTAGGTCAGCAAATTTGTACCAGACTTGTTTGAGAGGATAGCAGCACTGGCTCGGTACATCGTAGGCCACCAAGCGTAATTGTAAAGGCCAGATATGCATTCAGTCACTTCCAACGATGCTTAATGAGGTCGAAGGTGTGACGTGTCTCTCAGGTATCGATTAGCGCCGACAGCTTTATCCTTTATTATATTTAGATTCCAGTCGTTTTTTCCAACTAGTATTGTCTACAATTTTCTGAGGTATACGTATTCGGAAGTGAAGGCCGAAAACACGGACTGAAATCCTACCAATGCAATAATAAAGCTTTAAAGTCTGGTCCAGAGAAAAGAGACACACGTGAGTGGCACGTCTAGGTACAACAGAGAAGGACAATCGAAGTCAGCTCAACCAGCAAATGCTTAAGCAAGCGCAATAGGAGGCCCACTAGAACTACCAAATCGGTACAATGGCGCTCAAGAGTATTAACAAAAACGAAAAGGATGTGGTGATGCTGATGAAAAAAAGATGTTCACGATACACAACGTATATTTTTTACAAATGGAACACACTCGAATATTACCCGAAGCTACGATCAGTTGCATTCTTAAGGAAAAAAGTGGTTATGTAGTGTTCCACTTACCATTTATGAGGAAAACTAGTAACTACCGTGCATGTTTTTTCTTCTCCATGATACACATCTTTTCTTCACATTCGTCACTCAGACATGTTTAATCAACACATTTATGGAAGAGAAAACATAGATTATGATAAGATTCTATCCAAATTTACTTCGTATTGATGTAATATCTCCACCAATAGCTGACCACTATGAAAGACATTAATCCAGCAGCAAAAACGTGACCTATGAGAGATCTGCAAAGAGCAACAAAGCTAGAACAGCTACTATACGTATCAAGAGGATCAACACTACATGTAATCCTAATCATTTTATAACTTGGATTTTTTCAATTATTGCCAAAGACGGTGTAAAATATGACGCAAGCGAATTCAATTTGGTAGCCACGACATTCATGTCTCAGTGAAAAGGTAGGGATAGGACGTAGATTTGTAATGATTTCGAAAAAACAGCAATTTACAATAATCCTTCTTACGTATGCTGTAGAGGGAATGTGAATAGTGGTATACGGAGCATACTTTTCGTAACCATAGTGGCTATGATATCAGTGGCCGGATGACCATCGATCGAGCGAATGAATACCAAAGTAAAAGTTTTGTGTAGAAAATCGGGCTTAAAAAGTTACCGAACATTGTTACGAATGAATCAAGCTATCAGAGACCCCCACACTACCGTGCTATTGGTTCATCGTTCGTACCCCTGCACCCCAAAAAGGAAACATTTTGGTCTCAATAGACGACATAATCATAACATAATGCAGTGGTGCGGTGCGTGTAGCGCAGTGGTCAAAAGCGCTCTGCAATGCATATGAGATGGATCCTCACGCCACAGACTCACCAAATCATCCATCTCTCCGGGGTCGGCAAATTGGTACCAGACTTGTTTGGGAGGATAGCAGCACTGAGTCGATACATCGGCAGACCACCACGAGTTATTGTAAAGGCCAGATATGCATTCAATCACCTCCAACGATGCATAACGATGTCAATTGCATGGCGGATCCCTGAGGAATTGATCAATGCCGAGAGCTTTAGAGCTCTTTTTAACACATTGTTAATTACGAAGTAGCTAACCACGTTTGGATTATTGAAGCGAATGTATATTTAGCAAATTACCTAGTGGGCGGTCGTAGGTGAGAAAAAGTTGGGAGATCAATAGCGATTCGATAAATGCTATTGTGCTATTGACCACAATGACTAACTGAGCGAATGGCCGTTCCGAGCAATGGGACCACCATTTGCACCATTCTGGATATTTTCAACTATTCTATAAATAGTATTGAACTATAACTACAAGGATGGTTGTTCTTACCAATTCTATCCTGTTATTAAATATTTGGACCTGATCATTATTAATATTATCGCTTAGCTCACGATTTCTATGACTAACTGGAAAAGACAAAGGTATTATATCAACCACTAACTCCAATCCTGGTCATACAATACTTCAGTTATCTTTCGCTTTTCTTTTGCTCTTCTGCTCATCCTCGCTTTTGATCAACTGAATAATTGTCTACTTTTAGCCCGTAGTACCACCACTGCCCATGTATCTGATTTGAAATAGGCTTTAGATAATTTTCAGAAATCTCGAAGTAATTCACCAGTATGAGTTTAAAAAGTGCTTCTAGATACTTAAAAGACTTGAAAGAGAAAGTAACAGTAAACAAAAGTAAACCCATTTATCTCTTTGTGGACTAGCGCTAAACAGCAACGCTAGAAAACTAAAACCAACGAAGAAGAACTTGAAATATCGAATAGTACATGGTGATACGAGTATTTTCAAGCAATGTACGGGTTTAATGAACAATTCAGTTGATAAGATATGTGGTCCTAGTAGGACGCGCTGAACTACGGTTTATTTTACGCGAAGCGCTAAGCGGACGCGGTGCTCTACACGCCTATCGATCGGTCTTCTCTCCTGTGAGTTATACACGTAATCGTAGAGAAGAAAACTGAGTTATCAGATGAGTACGGGGATAATCTGGATATGATATGTAAGGATATTTTGCAGTTATTGATTGATCCCTGTGGGAAAAGTAGGATCGATAGGTGTTTTGAAGTGCGTACGTGTGTTGAAATGAAAGCGATGAACCTTTGGTGTTGCTCATTTTCATGACATGTTCACTTAAGCCTTCTCACCACTGTTTCTCTATTGCATTTATGGATTCTCTGGATATTAGTGGGGAAAGTAGCCCAATAAATCGATCTTCCATATCAACTGAACATTTCGCAATCTCCGCGCGTTCATCTGCAAATTTGTGACAAGTGTTATGAAATCCGTTTCACTCTCTTCATCGCCTCTTAAGGTGTCTGATTGTAATTTTTATCCTTGGATTTGTTTAGTAAGGATTTCTGGATTTTCAGCCAACTGTAGACAAACACAAATGCGATGGGATCGCGGCCATCGCCCGAGGAGGTGGCTCTCCAAGGTCTGTCGACCGCCGTCGGTCACATCCTCGATAACATCGGCTTCTCAGCTGCATCCGGCGACTCACTGAGTGCTCTCACCGACATCATGCGCCGGTTCATGGTCGAAGTTTGGTCTCGAAGTAAGCTTTTAGCCGAACACGGTGGGTTCGTTTCCCGAGTTTCTTTGTTTCCTTCACTTTTATAACTCTCCAGTGCTGTTTCTCTTCCTAGCATGTTTCATCCATCTGGTTTTTTCTTTTAATTTACCTTTTTAATTTTCCCTAGCCATCAGGTTGACGTTGGCATAGCTTTAGCAGTACCGGCTACGCCGGATGCCTGCAGGGCTCCTTAGGTTCGTAAGATGGATGTATTATAGAATCACTTTCTGTTCTTACTAGATTCAGTATGTCGACCCAAGGCTTTGATTTTATGTCATTATTGGTTATGAAGTTCTAGCTGGCCGCACTGAGATCTCTCCCGACGACATAGACCTGACTTTTCGTAAGTTGAAATTTTCGCCAAGAGAAATGCGGGATTATCTGACGCAGGTTGGAAACATTGGTCAGCCAAAACCAGTAAGTACTGTGTTTGTCACAATCCAGGTTTTGCGTTCTGTCATTTCCTTAAAATATCTGTATTTCAGTTATGCGAGTTCCCTGTTTCCGGTCCAAACATAAGACCACTGTTTGACCCTCAAGCGAGTGGGAAAGAGCTCGAGGTTGATATTCTTGATCTGTTTCTCTATACATTATTCATATTTCTATTTGTGTCCATTGTTTAGAATCGTGCTGAACATATTCCTCACTATTATCCTGCTGTTCATCCGACATGGACTGCAGAAGGTGGTAGTATCCTGCGGTTTCGATTTGAAAAAACTTTATGCAACGTGTTCTTTAAGGGGCCGATTATCTCGCTGTGATGAAACCTTCAACTTCTTTGGAAAAGAAAGGGTTCGTTTTGCTGCTTCGTTTTCCTAATTTTCATGTGCACGTTTTAGAGGGCCAGCAGATTTTCCTGACTTTTCAAATTGTGATGCGAAGTCGCTAGGCCTGTTGCCTCGAGGACACGAGGAGACATCGTTTTTGGACACTAGTAAGGACCATAGCTCAGCAACTGGCACGTTCATGGAAATTTTCTTTAAGTTGTTAACTTTCGTAATAATAATCGTATTGTAGGGATCCGAAGTAGTGCTAATCTGTCTTTTCTGAAGCTCCAACAAAGTGGTACCCAGGAATTGTTAGGGAGTACTGGATCTTATCGGAAGAAACCTAAGGGTAGCGGTAACTATGTACGTCCACTCCTCCTATCTCATTATGTCTTATCAGTTTCACTTATGTTAGCTTGTTTATGACTGTCTGCTTGCAGTTCGTAACTATTATCGTTTAGAAGGACCAGCATGGTAAATATTCCCCATCCTCCAGTCCATCATCGTTGTCAGTGCATTTGCTCAAGCAAACTGAACAATCGACTAGTAGATCAGAGGCAAGACCAAAAAGTTTTATCAACTATATTGCACCTAAAATAATTTGTGACTATCAATGAAGTTTTCAGTCCCCATCTTCTCGCTTAACTGTGACGTTGCCTCGAAAACCTGATCAGAGACATTTGAAAGTCACAGCTGCTAAGGGCAAAAAGGTAGATGAAGTTGTACACTTGGAGACGGTCTCGTCTGTTTTTTATTTTTAACATGCTTTTCATGCCTGTTTTCATTGTTTATTCTTATGTTTGCCAGAGCGGTGTTACTAAGATGGGTTCTTCAAGCTGGTCACCCATGCCAGTCCTCGAATATCGAAGTGTGGGTACGTGGATCAATTCTTATTTTTATTTCTTTTTTTTGGTCTATTGTGAACTTCACACTATATTATTTGTTGACTAGTGTTGGCTAAGGATGAAGTGCGTTATTAGTTTGTCTATATATTCGATATATGTAGTAGTTTTTGTAGTCTATAATTTTTTTCTCGGTGGCTGCTTAGTTTCATGCTTATTTATTTCTGCTAACGTACAATATGGTGGTTTCTATCAGAAAACCCTGCTAAAAGTAAACTAATGCCAGGATCCGCTACCGTCCTGTTATCAAAGTCACGTGGTAGCAAATCTCCCCCTGATCCACGAGGGCGACGACTGCCTGTGGTTGTGACGACCTGGGATAGACGTTGGCCAAGCTGGTCTCGGGGCGCCAGGGAACCGCAATGGCCTACAGCAAATCTCCGTAGATTGGAAGTGATGATGGGGCCCGCACAACTAGTGAAGATGGGCCATCCAAGTAGTATATATCGTGATTTTTTGGCTTATTGATTTTTGCGTGGATCGCTTTATTCTGTATTCACAAGTACGGGTGATCTTAAAGTAACTTTTAATTTTAAGATTTTTAAAGCTTTTTTCTTAACTGTTATTTCGGCAAGGAATGAATATGACTGGAGAAAGCGTATAACGTGGAGTTTTATTTAAAATTCGATATGGGTCCCAACATTCTCCACGAGATTCTTGAGCCGGTGAGAAACCGTATCAACTAATTTCATTGGGAACTCTTGTGAGATGGAAGACACGACTCCTCGTATTCACCGTTTCAGTTCTTCCAAAGTCGTTTGATTGGTAGGTTAGACTTGTTGCTTTAATTAATCCCAAGGGAAGAAGTCGGTAAGCTTCTGAATTTCAAAAAAATAAAGTTAATGGGATAAAGCTGTCGGTACTAATCAATACTTGAGGGATGAGCCATACATTCGACTTCATTAAGCATCGTTTGGAGGTGATTGCATGCATATCTGGCCTTTACAATGAGGAGCGGTCGCCTACCGATGTACCGATCCAGTGCTGCTATCCTCCCCAGACAAATCCGGTACCAATTTGCCTACTCCGGAGGGATGGAAGGCTTGGTGAGCCTGGGGCGCGGGGATCAATCGCATGTCTATTGCAAGGTGCCTCTAACCGCTTCACAACACGCGCTTTATTCAAGAACATAGGTGATATGAAAAAAGAACAATGTTTTAATTCCCATACATTGGCAAACATGCGCAAAAACTTTGACGAAGGTGTTACAGTGTACAAAGAGGTTATTAAGTACTTTAAAATGGAGGTTGCTTTCCGATCATCCTGTATTTAGTGGTATCATGGTGTGAGTGGTTTGTATATGAGACGCAAGAAAAAGTAGCTTTTTCATTACGGTTTTTTAGATGAAACTAAACATATAACGTCTGTTGGTAGTTTACGTCCTTGGCAAACTTCTACTCCGAGGTGAGGAAATCAGTGCTTCTTTTGAACATCATGTCATTTTTGTTGGTAAGATGATGAACTATATGTTTTCCATTAATTTGTGAAGTTTTAGGTTAGATCTACTACGACCTATTGAGCAACTTGAAACACCACTCTCACTGAAGAGGTTATTGTGATATTTTCTTAGTCTAACTGTTCCGAAGCAATCAACACTCAAAGCGTTTAGTTTTTTGCTCGCACATATTGGTGAGGAAGTCAGCAAGGATAACAAACAAGAGAAAAAGGAAAAGAGAGAAAAGCAAAAAACAAAACGAAGGGTGAGTGTTAGCTTATTTTAAAAGGTTTGTAGAATTACGGATTAACGTCAACGTAGAACGCTTGGTATATGTACTCAAATGAGTAACATTTTATTATAGAAGTAACTGTGATCATTGAGCTGAAAGCCTATGAAAAAAAGGAGAAGTTCCAGGTGCTTCAAAAAAAGAAGCATATGTAGAAAAAACACCGGTGTTCACTGGTTGAGCACTTCACACATGCAGCCACAAGGACGCCTAAGATATGAACAAAACATGGAACCTGGAGTGCGCTTCGAACCCGCGATAACCTTTTTCGATGGTGCACGTGTTATCCACTGCACTAACCGAGGCCCTTTCTTAGCTTTTCTCTCAGTCATTTCTTTTATGTAACGCTGGTACGAGCATTCGTGAACAGGATTGAACTAATGAGTGCAAATCGGCGTTGAGTCCAGTTACGCTGGAGCTGCAGTCGGAATCAATGTTCGGGCTTGTATTTATTGGCCAGGTAACTCACAGTGGCTGATTTCGATTGTCAAATTTTGTTTTAACTCAACTCAAGGACATCTTTATCAACGGAAAGAAAGCATACAGTGTTCGGTGTTGATTGATTCCTGAGGCATACCCTGTGCAGTGGACTTCTACAACCAAAGTTATATGTGATTGGATGTATATTTACCTTATCCAGTGACTTTTGGCGGCATCATATCAGTGTTGCCATCTTTTGCGGACAGGTCTACCAATTACCAATTTGCCGACCCCGGAAGGATGGATGAGCCGGGGGCACGGTATCAATTCCATGTGTATTGCAGAACACCTCTAACCTCTGATGTACGAGCACACTTTATTTAACAAAGTGATCACTTGTATCACCTGGTGTCCCTTTGATCGTTGATCTGCTCGCTCTAGGGGTTTGTTGAGCGTAATGCCTTTTTTCTACGGTTTTCATGAAGAAGCCTGACCATCGATTCGGTGGTCTTCCTGCAATATTTTTGACATCGTGAGGAATCGAATTACTAATGGCTCTTATCCATTGGTTGTGTTTCATACGCATTACGTTTCGGTCCCATCCTACCTTCGATAGTTTGGCACATAGAGCGGTGTCTTTGTTTTCTGATCGTCTATGTAGGTTGAAGCTTCGTATCCCCTCCATCACTTGCATAATGCGAGATAGTCATAGCATCACCCTTTCGATTGCGCGTTCTACAGCGCTGAGTGACCTTTCATCCTGATTACACAGCGACCAGGTTTCTGACGCATACGTTATGGTAGGAAGTATCGTTGAGTCGAAAAGGTGGGCACGAAGCTAGCTGTTGTTTGTTCTCATCAGTACATCCCAGATGCTCTTGAAAACTCCCCAAGCCATTCGCTTCCTCCTGCTGAGCACTTGAGCTAGATTGATCGTCGATCACGTTGATTTCCCCACCTAGGTAAACTTCGCCGAAACGTTCGTTGATATGCGAAAACAAAGTATTTTTCATTAACATCGTTTTTATGGTATTTGGTCGAACATCAATATTTCCCCAAGCTTTATGAAAGTCGCCAGGGAAAGTCGCCATTCTTTTCGTCTGGCTAATGTCTGATGTCATAGAACGGCGTCATCAGGAAAGCTGAGATGATGTCATTGCCATCCATCGATTTTCACTTCCATGTTGTCCCATTCCAGTGTTCGCATGATGTTTTCGAGGGTGGCAGGGAAAAATTTTGGCGAGATGCTATCGCCTTGCATAACCTCTGTTTTGTCGTCGATGTTAATACCATTATCGAATTGTGATGTTCTAGTCGTAAAATTTTATATAGCGCACGAGGAACCTTTGTGTAGTAAGTAGGGACTCCGTCGCTGTTCAGGGCTTTCATGATTACTTCCATATCAATAGAGTTAAAAAGTTGCCTTAAATCGGTGAAAGTGAATAGCAGTTTGTATTCTCGCGATACTTCAGTGAGTCCTGTTATCTTGTGGATGTGGTCTGACGTACTGAATCTTTTTCGAAAGTGCTTTGATGGCTGTCTTTCGTCCAGTGTTCCCTCGTATTCCTTTCCAGAGTCACTCGACTGAAACGTTTGTAGAAACAAACAGCAAACAAAGTGGGTGATGATAATTGCCGGAATCGTGGAGGTCACCATACTTGAACAATAATAGCGCGGTTTTGCTGCGCGGACATTGAATAGGAACCTTGTATTCTGGTGGATAACTTACTACAAAGAGCCATGCCAGTGTGTTTATGAGGAATGATGGAAGGTACTTCAGATGTTCATGTCCAATCCTTTCCGGACCAGGTGTTGTTCGATACATCGCAGACGAAATGTTATGTCGGATTTTGGAAGGGAGAACCGGTGGTATGACATATTTATCCTCCTTTATTTCATATGAAGTTGGGAAGAAGTGGCTATTGAAGAGATCTGAGTAGTAATCGTGAATGATTCTCTCCACTGCCTTTTGTGGACACTGTAACAGCTCCATCGGGACGTTCGAATGCAGTCCTCTTGGTTTTGTGACTGCAAAGTTTCGATGGGCTTTGCGAATGCTTTTACCAGTCTTCGCAGTTTCGACCAAAACTGCTGTTTTTCACTCTTTAAGGTCTTTTATCTCCTGTCTGGATTGTTTGCAAGTTCGGATGTTTACTTTGGGTTTCCTATAGCTTGTCGAGTTCCACGCTGGCGTATCATCTCAGGTGTTTTGGAGGCATATGTATCTTATTAACTTTTAACTGTCAGCGTTCATAGCGCCAGTGTAAGGGCATTGGATGAGCCGATCGTATTCTTCGTCGTTGCTGTTAAGAACGGCATCTTCCTAACATGTTGACTAATCAACTGAATAAGTCCTAGTTAGTGGTGGTTCTAAGACATCGTTTTTTGAATTTAGCGACTCTTTCTCCTTTCTGCGAGCAGTGAAATTTTGCGTGAGGGTGGCGATGGTTTGTTCTCGTGTAGAATTTTGGCAGAACAACGACATCGGTTAGGTAGAACCTCTGATTTACATTGATGAGCTCTGTTTCACTATGGTACTCTCCATTGGGGGACTTCCACGTCCAGCATTGAAAGTGTAGCTTTTACAATTGCGACCTACCATTAATGGTCATAGTTTCCATGATTAACTCAGGCAGCAGTCGCCTTATCTTCTTTTTTCACTCTGGTCCATGGGTCCCAATGTGACGTTCTTCAGACGTTATTGTGGCTCCAAGTTAAAATCTCCGATGATGACCTTAAAGAATGTATGAGTTTCCCTATAGAACTTCTTTAAGTTCATATAGAAGGCTACGGCTTGGTCTTCGTCATAGCCTCATGTCGGTGTGTATAGAACTAAGATTGTTTTGACTAAAACTCGTGTTGACGAGAAAGCCTGCACTGCCGACTCCTCAGTGTCGTATCTTATCCTTCTTTCCTGCTTAATGAAGTCTTTTTTTCGTGTACTCAGATACAGATGTGTGTATTGTTGGTAGAGATGGTAACCTTAGTCCTTTGTTATTTAGGCAGCCTAGAATGACCGTGAGATTTCAGCAGTCTTTCCGTACTCGTACTACCTAATGCTGCCGTATCAGAGACCCTTTCTGGGTTAGAGGAGTGACGCCCACTTACTTTACTGTGTTTACCTTTTTCACGCCCACATAGCTTGCTGAACTTACGGGTAGCTTAACTTTCTTTCCTAAAGTAGACGAAGAAGCATTTTTGTTTGAGGCGACTGTTAACCGCCTCCCATATACTTTCCTATCACTTTATTGCAGGCTGTTGCCGAATTGAATCGTAAAGTACAACCTGCATAGGCGAGAACACACGCATGCATTCCTGAATATGTCCTCTTAAACACAGAAGTTGTGTTAAGTCGGCGCAACAGATACAGGGAGTCCATCCCATGGATCTGTGTCTTAAGGACATGTGAGGTAGCTTTTGGTCCGCGATTAACTCTATCCACCACTTGGGGAGGCGCGACGTTGCCTCGCATTTAACCGACATGAGATCCTCATGTGAGGGAGATCCGTGGATCGAAGTAATACTTGCTAGAATATGCAAATTTATTGTGTCAATTTAAATGGCTACAATAGCTTAGAACTATGAACCTTGAAGTGAACTACTTAAAAAATGTTTTCAGCAGAGGTTTGATTGTTGGAGATTTCACTTAGTACTTTTCAAGATGCTTGAAAGAAGTAATAGTTGGCTAATAAAAGATAGTACAAGTAGTTTGAGATTTGGCATGTTTTTCTAGCCCAACTCATTTAGCTGTTATAGCGTTAATTGTACAGTGTGTGGTCAAATGTTGTCATCCAAGAAGAATTTATTCCATTTCCGAACGCATGCATTACCGAGCATGTAGGATTTATAGAATTTTATTAGTTTAGTGAAATTACCCTTCTTCTGTGGTCCTCAAAAACTGAAGTTTTTTGTTCACCGAGGACTATACGTGGCTCTTTCAGTGAATACGGATAGTGACTTGAATGAATTCAGTAAAAGACAAGAAAAAACAAGGAGCCGCGCTCAAGGTTATCACAGAGTTCAGTGATTGGTTTACTGGTCCTGGTTTACTTGCTCATTTCTTTGAGGCTGCTGTTCTTACATCTTTGTGCTGTGCAATAAAAACATGACTGGTACTCTAGGCATATCAAGGAAGTTGCGTAGAATATGCAGGACATTTGAGTGACATCTGAAGGAGAACTAGCACACTCAATACCGTTCTGGTCTAGTTAAGGGCTTAGAGAGATGCTCTGTCTTCGAGAACTATCAGAATACCTGTCAACAAGTAAGCATTGGTGGACTAGTTAACAATTGAGAAGGGAGGGAGGGAGTTGGACGGTGTATTTGAACTCATGAAGAAAAACCACCAAATGTCTAGTATAAAGAGCATCATTTCAACCCGCTAAAAGTCATTATAAATAGAATACTTGAACAATTCATTGCACTGCGAATGTTATAGTAAGAAATAAGTGTTAAAATTGCAGACATTAACAGTTTATGTGATAGATATTTGCAGAATTTGTTTACTCTTTTCATAACGATAAGAGCAACCAACAGATATTTACAAACTTAATAGGTCTGTCTCTACATGAAAATGTCGACCTTCTTAGCTAGTTTGACCTTGCTGTTGCGATGCAAACACAACTAAAGCATGCTATAGTCGTCGCTTCACATCCAACAATGATTCTCATTATGCTGAAGAAATGGACGCCTAAGGGATGTTAGCTGTAGTTTAGTGATATTCCTTATGAATTGTCTCCTTTAGAAGCAACAAGAAGGAGAACTGGGCAACGTAGGTGAAGTAGGTGAAGAACACCAGCAGCACGTAACTGAAGGATATCAACAAGGACAACAATTACCGGAGGATCGGGCTCAGTTACAATTACTGGAGCTCAATCGGGACGTAGCCACTCCTCCAATGAGACAGGAACTTCCCGAAGGTTTTTTAGAAAATCTAGCACAGTCGTAGTTGTATGTTATGAAACATGTGTAATTCAGCTTCACCAAAGCACCTGAAGATCGTGATCAGCAATCCACACAGCGATTCGGCTAGTTCAGCATTCTCGCCTCCACGTAAGTTTTAATACCAGGCATGGGTCAATTATAACTGCTCACTGTTTATGGTTGTGACTTGATCGCTTTTTACACATATATTAAGTGTGAAAGATGAAGTTTTCAAATTTTCGTTTAAAGCCGCTATGTTTTCTATGTTTCTTGGAGGAGAAAACTAAGCGGTAGCTTTCCAAATACAACGTGAGGATGTATCCCTAAAGTGGTGATGTTATATAACGGTGGCAGTGTCGTGCGTGGCATTACTGCCTTCTTCCGCTGGCGTTTTGTTCCAAGAAATTGCTCTTCCTAAAGGTTTGAATAAATGGAATGTTAGTGGCTTGAAAATTAGGTTTACAGCTGTTAGAAGTTACTGCGTATGCTTAAATGGATCTCAAGGTTTCACAGTGCATTTACTGCTGTAATCATAGTTATCTTGACTCCGTATGCAGGCGTGGTGAAGAGAAGGAAGGGAAAATTATCAAATTTTTCCAAATAGAAAGGTGCATTGCAAAAAATTTTCAGCTCTAACGCCAAAAGCAACAGAAATTCATGACCTTTCACCATCCGCTGGTGAGTTGTTTTAAGGAACTTCAATCATTTTATTGGTCTGATTCACTCAAATTTAGTTCTCACGTCCCTTTACAGATGTTCTCGATAATTCATCATTTCTGTCCTATCAGACATTTATGTTTTCGCCATGTTAACTTTCTATTTTTTGCCTGCTGTAATTTTTCACTGCAGGATATGTCAGTTACAACCACAGCGATACTGAGATATTCACAAAACTTGGACCTCGGGCAGGTCGAATTTTTTCGATTTTCCTTTCCGGGACTCGCGCATTACATACTATGTCATGGAGACCCTTGCTCTGCGTTCCTCTCGGCTAGTTTTCTCCCTAAAGCGTGAGCCATCCGGAAAAGGAAATCGTGGTTCGGTCTGGCCTGAAGTCCAAGTTTTGCGAAATTCTCAACGTCGTTGTGATTGTAGTTTATGCTTTTATTTCATTATTTTTGTAGTGGACGTGCGCTACGACAATGACTCGGATACGATTCCGTTTTTTGACGACAGTGTTGCCCCAGAAGGCAGTGCTATGTGTGGATCAGCAGAAACAGTGTTTTCAATGGATAGAACTGTAGATGAGTCTGCGTCTCCTCATCGTAAGAAGAAGAAGAAAAAAGACAGAGTCAGTTTATTCTGCTTCTGTTAAAGTCAACTAGTGGGGAAATGATGCACTATATTCAGGAAGAAGGATATTCAAAATCTCCACAGAGAAAGGAAAAGAAGCGAGACAAAGAACACAAGAAGAAGAAAAAGAAAAAAGAACATGACAGAAATCATAAAAGAGGTAATGGGGAACACGAGTATTACCGAGATTCGTCGACTAAACAGCGTAGGATTCCTTGTATTATTTGTTACCTTCGAAAATAGTTATTTTTTATAGCTCTTATTCCTCTGCATGTACTGTTCCTTTTTTATTTTTGTTCTAGGTATCTGTTTTTAGCCTTTCATGAGCCGAAGTTCACACTCAAAATTCGTATTGGCGATCAAACGTCTACCACAGAAACGGTGACTGAACCTAGTCCTCAGCCAGAGCCCGTAAAAATCAAGTTTAAAAACTTTCCTATGTAAGTATTGTTTATTTCTTGGTAGAATATTTTTCTTATAATTTATTATTTCGAATCGACTTCATACAGATGTAGTGACGATCTCAAGGAAGTTGGACAAAAAGTTGTCCCGCCATTGAAGCTAGGTCCACTTGGGTCACACGTTGAAATGAATGAGGAGCCTCATGCAGAACCGAGGAGAAAATTTTATACGAAGGCCGAAGTTAGTCTGTTTTCTTTCTTTTTTGTTTTCTTCTCTTTTACTTCTCCCAAATCCCTATTATCTTATCGCTGTCATAAGGCAACCGAGTTTTTTTTATTACACGCCAAGTGGTTAGTATCAACTAATTAGCTAATTTTATACAGTTTCATCTTGTTTGTAAGTACATGTTTTAGTTAGTTCAGTGGAAGATAATTTATTAAGGACGGAGAGATTCATGAGGGACTTTCTGTTTTATTCTGCCTAAGAGAGTAGAGATGACGACGAGGGAGAATTGTATTGATCGGACCGATTATTGATCCTTATATGCCATTAAGATAGAGTGAGAGTGTGGTGATGTGTTTTCGGTGGAGAGTTTGTTGTCACTGACGGTATTACTACGTAAAAACAGAGGGTATTTCCTACGAGTTTGACGATGTTCTATGAATCGCTTCATTTTTTTATGATATCGCATGTACGAAGTCGAATGACTATAGACACTAATATGTCGAAAACCAATTTTAAATTTGTGGTTTCGCCGTGTGGTCGTTCCGTGAAGTGCGGGATTGTGCCCGCCTGGTCTATCGACTGAGTCCGACTCATCCGCTTCTTCGAACGGTTTTCTGTTTTCACCGCTTCGCGGGAGTTCCATAATGCTGCTGAGAAGCTCGTGTTGTTTGGTTGTTCATTTACTTTCCGTGTCCGTTAAGGCTGTTTATAGCGGTCGTTTTCTATTCCTTATATTTTGTTCTCAGATATTTCCTAGATTATTAGGTTTTCTGATCCTTCTGACCCTTTCTGGAATCAGATTCTACGAACCCTTCAATGACTGGTAATTCTCATCGTGGTGAAGTGTGTCTGTTATCTGTGTCGGAAACTGATTTTTACTGCACTTTTTCAATGTGTCCACAGAAGTCATTGAGTGCGAGACTGTTGGATCTGTACTTCGTAGAAGATAATTGTGTTGATTCCTTTGATTCTTGTTGGCGTGATGTTCTCATCTATTATATTCTTTTTTAGCCTAGTAGAACTTGTACACCTTTCTTCTTGATCGTCTTTTTTTTGGTGAGTTCCTGATATTCTGCGTGTCTAAAACGTTTCTACTTTAGAGCCGTATGTTTTGTGGAGCCGTATGGATCCACATTTATAGCATAAATTGCGAATCACTGTGTATATTCTTTATTCGTAAGTTTATCGAAGTTTCTTCGCGCATCTTTCGTTTCTCGAAATGGAAACGGATTCGTAGTTGTACCGTGTTCGCTCATGTAACCTGTGTGTAAATCTGATGCTGTTCATCTGCTTTCTCATTTGGAGTGCTTCCTCGATATAGGCCTTGGTGTTTTTCGGGAATTCTTCCGTCTTCTATACTACATTTGCTCTCCAGTATTTTCTTTGTTGTAGTACACATCTGTGAATATTCTTCGTAAAAGTGTTGCTTACTTCTCGTTGTAGAGTCATTTTTTCCATATGTTGTCGTTTCTCCCGTAGTTAAATAACTATGGAATAAAGTGATTCGCCCTGTTCTAACTGGTCATCTCGACGATTTCCTTTTATTTGAAGCGAGCGCATTCTGTGTAGCACCTGGTTAACAGAAGCTTGTCAACTTCGATATTTTTCCATTAAGTGTCATGTCAATATTTTTTTGTGTTTCATGCGACATTTCGCAGTGTTTTACGGTTTCCCTTGCTGCCTTCTGAAAAAGGTTTAGCTAGTACTTCATTTTGAGACACTCATCTTTCATGAGGTAGTGATCGAAAGTATCCAGAAGTACTTTTCAAATCCATAGTCATCTGGTGAATTTTGACTCTCTCCTGTGTTGTAAGAATTTTACCAGGTAGTTTTCTACTTTATCAAGTGAGTGGATCTATTGTTTTTTTTCCTGCGCTTGTTTTGTCTCGTTTGTGGACATCCGGCAAAGACAAGATGCAGCCTTGAGTTTCTTCACTTCCATACAATACTCCCGAGTGCTGCTCCATCCATGTTTATTTCGTTATCAATGAGGCTTTGTTATGTGTACTGTTTTCCTGATGAGCAGACACGAGGTTCTTATCTTAAAATCTATTTCACGGTAGCTAATGCACTTAAGCGGATTTCACGTTCTTCAGAGCCTCGAAAAGTCATATTGATGCGCAGCTTACTCAAATACGTAAAACCCGAGCAAGAAAAATCCTCGAAACCTTGATTTTAATCTGGTTAGAAGGAGCTTCTCTAGACATTTGCCGTTTTCTGTGAGTCTCTCACTTATTGGTGGGGACGAGCCGCAAAGTGTCCACATAGGGGTGGGTTATGTGCTTCTCTCAGGTTAATGTCATTCTGAGACATTCTCTGAGGTCGCGCATTATAACAAGGCGTTCTTAGTCGCTCATTAAGCAGAAGACGAATTATTCATCAATTTGAAACTTAATAGCAGCTTGGCTTTGAAATTTTCGTTTGTTTCTTTCTACAGTGTGTTGATGTAATCCTCTTTTGTTATTGTTTGATGTCAGGTCTACTCAAATGTCTACTTTGTCATCGCTGTCATTTAGAAGGTTTGAAAGACACTTGTTTGCCACTCTTTTTAATGCTTAGTTATGGAGAGTGACGTCAGGATGCAATGAATTTACCCTTTTTGGCATTTGCTTGAGCTTGTTATCGAGCGTGATTGCGTCTTTGCGCTAAGTCGCCTAGTCGTTTATGCGGTTAGGTGGTTTGGTAAGGCCATTGTGTTAACTAGTTCAGTGATTAACATTTATCATAAGGAATATATCTTTTTCTTGCGTTCTAGCACTTCGGATTTTCTTCCTAATTCTTTTAAAGAGTAGAAGAAGTGAGAAGGAAAGAGTGAATATAATAAAATTAATGGATTGGACTGATTGGATACCTTTGTATACCATTCATATGGGGTGGAATTGCGATAACGTATTTGTTGCAAGAGATTACTGACATTGTTGACGATATATGTGGGAATAGAGAATATTCTTTGCATGGTAGAGAATACTCTCTGTATTATTAATAGGGTAGCGCTAAAATAAGTTGTTTTACTCTAAAAAATGCAGTGTATCATTCTACTATCCATCTATGTTCCTCGTTAGGCCGTAAACGTTCGTATTTTTAGTTAAAAGCGCCACATCCATTATCGAATTCCTTCGATACGCAATGGAGGGAAGAAAGGAAACGGAAGAGGAAGGACGAGGAGGAAAGAAAGCGAGAAAAAGAAGAACGTAGACGTCTAGAGAAAGAGGAAAAGAGACGTATCGAGCAGGAGCGTGAAAAGGAGTTAGAGCGAGAGCAAGAGCGTGAACAGGAACGTGAACGTGAACGTGAACGCCAACGTGAACGCGAACGCCAACGGGAGCGCGAGCAGGAACGTGAACGAGAACGTGAGCGTGAACGCCAACGGGAACGGGAACGCGAACGCGAACGGGAACGCGAACGTGAACGCGAACGGGAACGCGAACGTGAACGGGAAGTCGAGCATGAACGTGAACGAGAACGTGAAGTTTCTGAACGTAAGCAAAAAGAGAAGCCAGAAAAGGAGCAGCGTGCGAACCAACGACGTGAAAAAGCCATTCGTTTACCTCCACCGGTTACGGCTTTTGTAAAAGCAGGTGTGTGGAACTTATTCCTGCAGTTAATAAATGAGACTCTGTTTAATTTCAGAATCAATAGTCTTTTTTGTTGAAATATTTTTCACTGTGTTGTTTTTTCATTGATAGCCCATTTAAAATTATGCGGACTTTTTTCATTAAAAGCGGTGCGAATTACAAATTATGTATACGTTAACAGGGCCTCATAAAAAGTTGTTAGTATTTGTTTCATGTGGAACGCTTTATGTTAATAGTATTTGGTAAAATTAACTATTATTTAGCTGCATAAAAACTTTTTCAGCTTGTGCTACGTTTATAGACTTTAGCTAAATTCTAGAACTTCGAATTTTTGGCCGAAGATTTATATTGTGTACTAGAAAGGATTTCAGGAGAACTAAAGAAAAACATAAATCGAAATGGTCGTGTCGTTTATATGACAGGCGTTCCTTTAACTACATGTATGCTTTCTTTAAATATTTGAAGAATGTATTTGAGGTGTATAAAATCTACTATGAACCATTGATTATGAGAAGTAAACGATAAGGCTATTTTTTAAATTCGTTACAGAGACGAAAGATAGGAGAACTAAAGAGAAACATCGAAGCAGAGAAGAGGAGAAAGGCCAGGTACTTTTAACTATCAAGTGATTTTACGTGTATGCAAACTTTTAGTTAGATTTGAAACTTGAAGGTCGAGGTAGCAAAATCGGTGCAGGACGACAGTTCAGAGGAGGGAGATGACGATAGCTCAGATGTGGTATTGTGTTTTCATCCATTATTGTCGTGCTATCTCAACTTTTCTTTGGATTATGATCTTTGTGTTGTTTGCACGTCTGCTTCTGTAGGTGTGGATTTGTCCCTCATGTTCGGTCGCTTGGACTGAAGGAGCAACAATGGTTTGCTGTGACATGTGTGACAATTGGTTTCACTGGTATGTGAAATTTCCACTTTTAACGTAGATTGGGCTTCAATCTAAATTCTTTTCTCATTTTTCAATGTGATGATAAGGTTCCCAGTAATCAGTTAACTGCTGTTCAAGGATTTCACTCGAATTTGATATGGATCGGTTATGTGTACCGAAATTTAGGTTCGCTAATATGGTGTAATATGTGATGTAATTAAATGAAAATTTAACTTTAAGTCGTTTTTATTATTGGAGCCTTAGGCGCCTTATGAGTGACATTATATCTGACCAGTTTTTACTAATGTTGAAAATTCAATTAGTCTCATATTCCTTCGTCACAGGCATTGCGTTGGCCTTCTCGTTGCCCCTCCTGACGACGTGCCTTGGTTCTGTGAAAAATGTGCCAGTAAAAAGCAAAACGAAAAATCGAATAGACGTACTGGAACCAAACTGGAAGGATCGACTCGGAAGAGAAAAAAATTATTCTGAATTCGTCAGTGATTTTTCTTGTGTGTCACTGCCATATTTACCCGCACAAACATTCTGTTAACCTTTTTTCATGGCCAGATTAAGTCATTTGATCTCAATTAGAGGTCGTCATTAGCATAGTCAGATGTTTAGCTTTATGAAATGAATTCCCAAGACCGACTTTCTGTGAACCTCGGCATTGATTGATAATTCGATGTTTTTCTTCAATAAGCAGACACGAGGTTGTTATTATAGAATTTGTTAGGATACAATAGCTGACGTTTCGGTGGTTTTGCCTTCTTCAGAACCATTTATTTGTCGTAAGTATTTGAGTTAGTTGGTGGATAGTAGCCGCGAAGAGTAATACATGGGCGATGTATTATTCCTTTTTTATTCGCCCATGTATTACTCTGTGCGGTTGCTATCCACCAACTAACTCAAATACTTACAACAAATAAATGGTTCTGAAGAAGGCAAAACCACCGAAACGTCAGCTATTGTATCCTAATAAATTCTATAATAACAACCTCGTGTCTGCTTATTTGAAGAAAAACATCGAGTTATGAAATGAATGTCTTTTGTGGTTTTCTCCATATTCTTTTTGACTTTCGACGACTCACAAAATCTGCGCATATTTTTTTCTTGTCGTGCAAGGTATAGAAGTTTCTCAATTTGTGATACTCGTCCCAAACAACTTAAGTTTGTTGTTTTACAAGTTCCCGTTTTCGTGCTCAACATAACTTTTCCAAATATCGTTACATTTACTAGTATGAATATGTTTGCGTTTATTAATTATAAGGATGCTTTTGTGTTACTAATGTTGATGTTTTAATTCTTTACAATTTTATTTATTTCTCAGTGCAGGTATTTTGTAAGAACGGCATACTTTTTTTCATTAATGGGGTAAAACACCGTTTGTTATTTGTTATATAAATTTGTGATAGCTCATAGCTACAGCTTTTTGCGACATTTTGAGCTCACTTCATCTATGTCATCAAGTATATTGCCGTAGTAAGTTAGTCAATTTTCCTTCTCCCAGCGTTGTTCCTTAGTATCTAATGCTTTCTGTTGTTTGTATAGATCGTTCTATGCATAATAATGGTGTTCTAATAAGTGCCAATTTTTTCCACGATTTTGAAAGCAGTGAAGATCCCTATGTAGTTCGTTTTATGTGTAACTTTTGAAATTATATTTGCTCATATATTACGCAAAATCTTCAAATCTTTCTTTAAACACTGTTGTTGAGTTCCCAATGTTTTTGGAAGTAGTTGTTTTATCTAGAAGTTGCATAGATGTTATTCATTAAGTGTGTTTAGTACATACTGCTGCTTGAGTTCATTTCCAACACCTATAATAATAACCACAATGATGGTGAGATGTTTGCAAAACTCAGGCGTTAAGTTAAGATTAAACCCCTTGATTACACTTTCCGAGAACAACGTATTATCTACGGCGCCACTAAAGCCCTTGGTTTGTCTTCTTGTCAGGCGGTGTGTTACCGTATCGGTGCTACCAGCAATCAGTCGTCAACGGGAATGATCTGGGGAGCGCAAATCGGCACTGAATCTCTAGCCGAAGCCTTCCTCAGGTTGTCACCACTCCACACAGTTGCCATTGTGGATCAGAGGAAGATTTACCACCATACGACTAGTTTGGTAATATGACGGCGATGATTGATGATATTGGTTTACCCTTAGCTGGGCTACCCAGGAAACGGATTACTTCTTAGTTTCGGAGACCCTGGCTGGGGTTGAACCCAGCTGTACATCGCAGTCCGACATCTATAAAGTGGCTTCCAACGACAGTGTGGCTGTAAACAATTGAAGTGAACAATCCAAAATGACAAAAGTTTTTTTTTTCTTTTTACTGATTTCACAACTTCATGTAGCATCTGTTGTCGCTCCAGCGAGAAATCACTCCCACCTCACTCACATTGAGAGGTTCGAAATGAAAATCTTTTTTTCCTAGTCTCGGTTAAGATAGGTTATCTATACCAATGTTTATAAGATATGGAAATTTACCAAGTGATATTTAGTGACTACTGTCCTGACAGCTTTGAGTAAGGAGTTCTTTTGTAGGAGTTGACATATTTGCACTCTTGTCCTGAAATAGCTTTAGTGAAGACTGTCAAATTGGAGTAACATCATCTGTTTGACTGGCAAGGTATTTTTTATACGAGATGTAGATTTCATGAAAAATGATTTGAAATGGTGAAGAGTCGCCAGTAGCATAAATATGCCTGTCGATATGAAGCTGTTTTGATGTTAAAGTTTTTGGAGATTTCCACGAAATTAAGCGATTCTACTGTGTAATATAGTCAGAAGATCTGGACCAATTTTAAATTGTGAATGAATTAAATTATGTTATTTTCACTATACTGGGTTAGGAAACAGAAAATTGGGTTATTATATTTGCATCGCGATGGATTTTTGAGTTCGTGTTTGCAAAATGTTTTTTTTATTTCGGTGACTTTCGCAGATTCAAAGCTGTTTTATCAATGAGGACTTCCGTTGTTGGCAAATAAGAAAAATCTCCACATTCGTGTGGTAGTGTTTCCGTTCCTGAAAATTCTGTGGTTGCACTCAGCCGTATTTCACCCATGACAGGACAGTTTATTCAGGAAAAGCTGTAAGGTCACGGCTGCAATGTTTGTAGAACACGCTATTTGCATCTATGAGTCGCAACATGCGGTTAATTTTGAGGAAATAACATAGATGCTGCAAGGCAGCAAAAGTTGTTGTGGTTACAATGGTCCATTTTTAATTTTTGAAACTGAGTAACCGTCGTCACTTTTTATTTACCGCCTATCCTTCTTTGGTCCGGTGTTTTGTAAATATCTCAGCATCATTATAGAATAACTGTGTTTATGCATCGTTTTATTATTAAAAATGAAAGTGATTTAAAAAATGCCTCTTTTTCGGCATAGTGCAAGTCAATGTATTCTATTCTAATAAAGTGTTCTAGGCCTCCCACTCGTACTTAGATGTTTTCTTGTAACGGCTTTGTTGTTCAAGACGTCCTGAGAGTATAAAGCTGAGTTTCGTGGTGATGTTGATTCAATTTCTGAAGGAACGTGTGATGCATCGTCTAGACGTCATCCAACGTAGTTGTCACATAAAATTGGGTGCACCCGCCCTTGTATGTGCTAATAAGACTTTGACTTCAAGGAATGTTCTTTTTTTCATTGTAGTTGAATCGATTCCTAGAGCGACAATAATTATCGTCTTAGAGGACTAACTTTTCGTTGCAACTCGTAATGCTTCTATGGAAGGGGACATTTCCTTTTTTTTTACAGAAGCAGCATAGATCGCATTTCCTAACGGCGATTTTTTTTCGTCACCGTCCACTTCCTGTGATATCGTCTGATCCAGTGTTTTTCAAATGGCGAACGATCTTTGATTGCTTAACGTTGAGTTAATGCGCAACTTCTTGAGTAATGTTTAGAGGATCAGCTTCAGCAGTCACCTTCATGTGCTTCTTGTCAAGTGTTAATGAATGCACGCGGCATTTTTCATCATCAAGGCCTATATCTCAGGTTGCGAATCTTTTCGGACTGTCTATGTATTACGTGTTCCGAAGATCCTCCCGGTCTCATGCTTCAAAAGTGTTTCACCTTACTTCTGAAGCATTAAACAATCCATGAAACACAAGCAAGCAAGTTTTTTTTTGCAGCGAACGCATCATTTGAACTGGGCAATCTAAGTAATAGAAAACTCATTAAAGCCTATGGAAAATTCGAAAATATTTACTAACATTAACGATGAATTAATGAGCAACAATAGTGTATTAAATGATGTAAAGCAGCAGTGTAACAACGAACGAAACTCTCGTTACATTTGCACCATTGTTGGCAGTGTCATTAGATCTTCATCATATTAGGAAACCGGGAATTGCAAGAACACGCAATGCATCCTTATATGGTGGATAGGGATTAAACACGAAGCAAAACGATGTATTTGCATTGCACTCGTTTCGAGAAGCAGGAAGACTCAGGGAGTGAGCTATATCTTTGCTGTTGTGTTGGGCTGGCATATATATATATACATATATATATATATATATCTTATGTGTGTGCATAGATACAGATATATGCATATATATATATATATACTTTTACATCCATATATATAGGGACGCCGTACGCATATGCACTGAATGGTCCTTACATGCATATACTTGTTACTTGATACTTTAACAGCCCGTCATTAGTTGTACGAGCCCCAGCTAATCATCATTTTTCGGAGATTTGCTGGTTAAGCCATTGTGGTTCCCTGGAATCCCGAAGACAGTCTGGCTAAAGTCTGTCCCAGGTCGTCACCACGGCAGACCGATCCCCGCGTCTATGGCCCACCAAGCCTTGCATCCCTCCGGAGTTGGCAAATTGGTACCAGACTTGTCTGGGAGGATAGCAGCAATGGCTCGATACATCGGTAGGCCACCGCGAGTCATTGTAAAGGCCAGATATGCATTCGATCACCTCCAAACGATGCTTAATGAATTCGAATGCGTATTCCTCAGGGATAGATCACCGCCAAGAGCTTTATCCTTCATTTATTGTACATACATATACATGTATATATATATATATATATACGCGCTTGAAACGTCAAGGTTTAAATCCACAGCTAAAGCCTACCCTTGTGCACATTTTATAAACGGCTTGCTTACTATGGTAGTACATGCTAATGAGATTGGCCCTCACCAAGAATTTTGCTTTCTCCGTTTCCACGATCATTAGTTATTCATATGTTACATATTTATATATGCATACCACAGCATACGGATGTCTAAGTGTGTGTATGCGCGTGTTGAGAAAGCAATAGTGGGGAATTCCAGGATTACTAGGACTGAACGGAAAGGTGGTGTGGAGATACCGTAGTCGTCGTGCATAACACTTAATTATGGCCTTTTCAGTTGTAAGCCGGGCGAATATCATGGATTTCCCATGTTTTCTTATTGGTGGTGAGTACATTGTTTTATTAGGCTTGCTTCATGATGTGATGTGCATACTATTTTTAAGG